TTATGGATCATTGGTAAATAGTATAGAAACATTAGTTTTACTTAAAGGGCCCTGGCTTTGAGTTCCTATGGAGGAGCATCCCTTGGAGATTTTGCTCACACCTAAAATGAGTGCAAAAAGGAAACACATGTTCTCCTATGGGCAACTTAAAGTCAAAAGCAGTCAGAATCTTTAAGTTGAATTCTCTGTTCTGTTACTTTGGCAAGTCCTATAATCTCTCTGCCCAGGTGGTTGTGTTACAATCTTTCTGGAGATAGTATTTTCTTCACTTACTCGTGTGTGTGTGTGTGTGTGTGTGTGTGTGTGTTTGTTGCTGGGGATTGTACCCAGGGCCTTGTGCCTGCAAGGGAAGCACTCTACCAAATGAACTATATCCCCAGCCCTCTTCATTTATTCTCTAGTATTCTAGTATTCAACAAACATTGTGAAGCAACACTTAGCCTTGAGTGGAACTAACCTATTCTCTTAAAGATGACTTAATTTAAAACTATTGCCCAACTTGCAACATTTTAATATATTTAAAATTATAACTTGCTATGTCACAATGGCTGGGGTGAACCAATAACAAGAGCATCCAGAACAAAAATTACTGTAAAAATTGGCATTTTTTTTGGATGAAATAGAATAGTTGGACTCTGTTATTCCGTTTCTAAAGTGGCTCATTAATAGTAGAGTGGCTGGAACATTACTGTTAGTCATTAAAATATTTGTTGAATGAATAAATTAAGGCAGGGATCTTGTTTGTTTGATTCACATCTATATACCCAGCCCTTAGAGTGATGTGTGGCACATAAAAAGTATTTAAATGTTGTAGGATGAAGAAATAAATAACAAATTACATTTATTTATTCCACAATAACTATCTTGTGATTACATTTCAACTTGATGTGCAGGTTTAATATTAAACCCTCTATTGCTACTTGAGAAGACAGGTTTAGTTTCAAGCTAGGGCAGTGTGACTTACCCATTGGAATGTAAACTCCATTAAGTAGAACTTTGAGTGAGTTGTTTCTTAACACTTAATAAACATGCATTAAAAGAGTGAATTGTTTTGCAATGAACATGGATAACAGGTATCATATATTCTAAAAATAAATAAAAACAAAAGCTACTACGCACAAGAAACCCAAGTTTTTCTGCTGCAGTAAAACATCTTTGCTACCACCATCTTGGTATATTTTAACTCAGGATTCCCAAGCTTTTGAGAGGATGGTACCACACCTGACGTCTGTGCAACTGGGCTAGCACCTCTCATAAATTTTTAATGCAATTTTTATGAGTTTTCTCAGTTTTAACCACAATCCATGTGGGGGTGTATGAATTTAAAACAAACAAAAAATTGTCATTCAGGAATGAAAAATAAATGTAATCTGAAATCAATATTTATGAAGTTGTGATTAATTGACTGATGACCAAATGATTACAAAACGTCTGTCTGAAACATCTACTCAAATTTATTAGCTTTGACCAAAAAAATTAAAAAACAATCTGAACTGGGTCAATGAAAGAATAATGCATTCCTAATCAATTTTTAATAGCACTTAAGATTTTATATTTTTTTAAACTTGCTTTTAAATAATTTATCATTAAAATGAATCTGATTTAAACAAGGGGTAAAAGGTGTTCCACAGCTATTTGATGGTTTTCTTAGCAAAGAAATTCAATTATGACTGACTTTTTATTACTGAACTACTTTATTAATAATAATACATCTTGCACTTACATGAAGGCATTGGGCCAACAATCTGAGAGAATCCATCAAGTGTGATCTAGGATTTAACTTCAACTCTAACTATTATCCAGTGGTTTACCTTATCCTTGCCTCAATTTCCTCATATATAAAAGGAAAGGACTTCATGATGACCCCCCAAAGCCTCTGTAGGTCTACAGATGTATAAAAAATAGTTTAGGAGGCCTTAGCCTATTCTGGATGTCATACATAACTGAATTCCTCCAGTCACAGGATTTCTCATATGAGGCTGTTAAGAAGGTGAAATAGAAATCAAGCAGAAAGTCAATGAGCCATGTGATCTTTATCTTCCTTTTAGAGTAATTATAGCATCATCACACTATTCGAACTAAACAATGTCTATTTAGAACATGATTTATCAAAAAACTAGGAAATTCCCTTCATAGAATAGAGAGAAGAGATAGTTCTTGATCTTGACTCACTTGCATTATTAAAAGCAAAGCCTAGAAAATGACCTGGAATGGGGCTGGGGTTGTGGCTCAGCAGTAGAGCATTCGCCTAGCGCGTGTGAGGCACTGGGTTTGATTCTCAGCACCACATAAAAATGAATAAATAAAGGTATTATGTCCAACTACAACTAAAAAATAAATATTAAAAAAAAGAGAAAATAAACTGGAATCAGTCTGGACCTTGAGAGAGTCCTGATCAACATGTACTGCTAGCAATATTATTTGTGTGTATGTGTGTGTGTGTGTGTGTGTGTGTGTGTGTGTGTGTGTTTTGGTATCTATCCACAAAGCATTAATATACAAAGTGTCTATGTTGCAGTATGATTATATTTGTGCTAATGCATATAGTAACATATTAACTAAAATGTTTGCAAGGACATGTGCTAGAATGTTATTAGTGAACACCACAAAGATTTAGAGAGATGTGGCAAAAGAATAGAGGAAATTTTGCTTAATATTTGATATATTTTTAAACTCTTAATTTTTAAAAAATTAGTCTGTATTATTTTTATAATTCTCAAGAGTAACATGGTCTTCTGTTTTGAGGTAAAAACAAGTAAACATGTTTAAAATAAAACAGCTTGGGCTTATAAAAAAAATGGAGGCGATGGCTAAGGCTATTTGTGGAATATTCACTTAGTACCAGATACTGGATAAATTAGATGCAATCCCTAGCCTCGAGAAACATAGTCTATTGTGGTGGTAAACACATAATCAACTATAATAGAATGTGATCAGCATAGAAATAGTTGTATGGTCAGAGCACTAAAATAGCACTCAGAAACTATGATAACAGTAATAAATGTGAAAGAAGATGTTGGAAATAGTTTAGATTTTAATTTTCTACTTAAAATGGAAGCAATAATGTGTTAAATTGATTTTTGTTACTAGATATTGACACCAATCACAGGGATAATATATAAGAAATTAACTTGCCTGGTAAGTGAAGGAAAAGTCTTTTTAAAAAGAAGTGTCTTCAATATGTCTTTCTGATACACTGTTTCCAGGGATGGATGTCAGAGACTGAACATTCTTACTCCTATGCCCCATTCAGAAGCTGTAGAAGGAGGCCCTGAAATATCATGTTAACAAGCCTAGGCAAAAGAAAACATTAAGATGGGAAAAGATGAAACCAGAATGACAGTAGGTGATGATCTGGAGCTTCACGGCCAGGGACTTGAAAGATAAATTAGCAGAACAGGAGAATTCTGGACCTCATATAAATATGACTTTTTAAGGAAATCACCAAATTGGATGACTTATGCCAGACATTCTGAAAAAGTTTACATTAAACAGAATCAGTATGATTATTTTGCTCAGCTCTCCAATTGCAAGCATATTATGGTCTCTGACTGCTAGAGAATAAAGTTGCTAAACTATTTGAAAGAACTCTCACTGCCACTTGTAAGCCATTTTGAGATAGATTTGGGATTCTTCAAGTGAACTACTATCTGTTCCCATTGCACTATTGCCTGGCCCTTTTTATACACATCATACTAAGCATAAATTGCCCTCATTTAAAACACACACACACACACACACACACACACACACACACACACACGTAAAACACTAAGAGGCAAAGATTAAATAAGTTGCCTGAGATCACAGGAAGTTGTTGAGGGCAGAGATTTCTATTTCAGTTGTCTAGGTCCAGAAATCCTTACTCTTAACCCCGAGGCTGCTTTTTGCTATGTATTGTCTCCTTTTCAGAAAGATTAATAAAATATGTTCCTTTAATATTGTTTCTAGGGCTGGGGCTGTAGCTCAGTGGCAGAGCACTTGCCTAGCATGAGTGAGGCACTCGTTTGATCCTCAGCACCACATACAAATAAACAAATAAAATAAAGGCATCTGTAAAAAAAAAAAAGTTTCTAAATCTCCCAACTCACAGATTATATTTGTTTGCATAATACATCACATCAGCTCTTCTTCACTTAAATCAGGTGCAGTTAAATTCCAAATCTGTTAATATTTAAGATTCATTGAGAAACTTTTAAGTTTTTTTTTTCTTTTTCACAGTTGGGAAATGCTAATTTATAACCACAGAAATTCTTCCATGGAGTTCCACAAGAAGGTGGTACACTTCACATCCAAGGATGCACTTGAAAGAGTTAAAATGCATTGCACAAGATCATGGCTCACACCATTTGCAGCTTTCTCACTTATGGATGTGAATGAGGCTCCTGGATGGAATCCTTAAATCTACTTTTGGTAGCAGTCATAGTGAGAGTCTTGTCTTCAAGGAGAGCTGAGATTAACGTATCCAGGTTATTTTTGGATACAGAAGATAAGGAGAAAAATTACTGTTTTTAAAGCAAATTATCATGCCCCCTTGGAAGCAAGCACATGGTATCACTTCAGAATGGAAAAGGAACTGAAAAGGGTGGAAAAGTTGTTTGGGAAACTTAAAATGTATAGATAACGTCTTTTTTTATTCGAGTCTCTCGACTGCGTCCAGTTTATTGTGAGGGGTTTCATCTTCAAGCAATTTCCCCCATCCCAATAAAACTCTCCGGGGAAAAATCTGGGGAGTTAAAATCGCTGATCCATGTACTGCCTTCTACTATTACACTTGCCCTTAAATTTTCAAGATCGTCGATACGTGTAGAAACACACTTTTCTTCTCATTCTTAGGAATCTTGCATCACCTGAACTGGGGGAAGTTTTTCTTTACCTTTTAATGAAACGGAAAAAGCCCGGGCGAAAGCGCGTTTTCGTTTCCTCTCCCGGGCAGGCCCTGCCGGGCCGCCGTAGCCGGCCTCGCGCGTCCTTGGTGGTGGTGAGGAGCCGCTGTCGGCGGGACTTCCGTGTTGGCGGGATTCTGAACGCTGCCATGGCTCAGACCGTGCAGAACGTTACATTGTCTCTCACTCTGCCCATCACGTGCCACATTTGCTTGGGGAAGGTAAAGGTTGATTCCGGGCACAGCTACGAAACGCGGTTGGGTATGAAGTGCCCTCCGGCGCCGGGAGCGGTCTCGATGCCGGGCGGGGATGGGGCGTGAGGCGCCGCGCTGGGAGAAGACGCTCACCCGCGTTCTCCTCACGCGGCGGGAGGCCGTGTCCCGGGGCCCAGCGGAGCATGCGGTGATTAGTGGGTTCATCTGGAAGCCTTGTAAAGGGGGATGACAGCGTCCCGGGGCCAGGCAGTGAGGCTGCACAGCGCCGGAGGCCTCACTGGGGCCGACGCCGGCCTTGGAGGGGCCGCAGCGGAATTGCTCCGCTGTGGCATTTTACCCCTTTTGCAACCCCGAGTGGAGAATGACCCTTGAAAGCACATTTCCTCGTAGCCTCATCTCAGGTTCATTAGACCCCTGTACAACCAGAGTGTTAGTGCTCCGGGGCCTGCTGTGCTATTTGGAGAATGTGGTCCATTTTAAGGTCTTTTCTTATTCTGGCCTCCAGGTTGGTCTTTGCTCCCGGGTCAAAATAAGAAAAGTAAATAGTTGATGTCCCTGGGTGGTATTTAAAATAAGAGGGATGGCCTTTAACTCCAACAGGGGATCCTTGGCCAGATAGAATCCTCTCTCTTTGTCATGCAGTAGGTGCCTAATGTATTTGTGAAACTGTGGGAGAAAGTACTTACGACTTAGAAACGGAGTTTTGAATGTTCTCAGGCCTTGGTCTCCCCTCTCTTTTTCGTTTTTGCATCCCATTCGGATTTTTAAAGAACCTTTTTTTTTTTTTTTTTTTTTTTTTAATCTCGTGGATCAAGAAGGGGGAAGATACTGACACAATGAGTTTTTTTCCACCCTGAATGGTTTTTGATGTTTGTAGCGTGGCTGGGTTGAATTTCTCCCCACAGTGTAGGCAGACTACACCCCCAGGCTTAGAATTGACTCTGCGAACTTAATGAAGCAAAGATTTGAGTGCCAGCCAGTTCTAGTTTGCGGTTCATTGTGCTGAGTTCAGGAAGTAGAAGGAAGTCAGGATTGGAAGCAACTGATAACTCTTGATACCAGTCCTAAAGAAATGCCAAGAGAAGCAGCCAGACGTGCTGTGAGAGGACATAATGGATGGCTTGATCAATTCTGATTAGAGAAGTCAAGGATGACCTGGGCACGGATGGTGTTTGAGCTGGCATTTGCCACCACTGCCAGCTTGCCAGGCTGGTGAAAGGAGGAAGTGATTTTTCTATTTGCTTCAGTCCTGTATATTTGATTTCTGATAAATTTCCCAGAAGTACCTGTTAAATTCTGAATGAATTTCCAATCGTAGTCTTAAAACTGACAGAAAAATATAGGGAGGTGACTTTCTTTTGGTCTTCATTGTACATGCTATACCTAGTTTCTGTTAGTAAGCTGACTTTTAAAATTGCATTGAGTTGCCTGGTTTACACTTACCAAATCTATGCTTTTTGTGTTTAACCAAATTGATATCAAATAGAATAGTGCTTTGCAGATTATAGAATGCTTTTGAATATATTTATTTTGTTTACTTCTCACACTAATGCTCTGAGATAGATGAGGGTTGGTTTTCTTTTTTTTTTTTTTAAAAATAAAGAAACAAAAGCTTAGAATCTCCAGTAGTGTAACTTCTGTCTTCAGTAGAATACAAAAACACCTGACCTCATCCATGCCACCAAACACTTTAGATGGGTTTTCCCCCACTCCCACCCAGTAGTGGTTAGTTTTATTCTAAAATAAGAATCAGATAATAAAAATTAAAGATTAGCAATTTGTAAACAGGCATATTTTCTGTTACAGAAGCAGAAAGGTGTGGGCCTGAGTGACTGAGTTCTTCAGACTAGTTGGGTTCTAATCTAGGTTCTGCCACTTACGGTTATATGGTCTTGTAAAAATTACTCTCTGGCCTCAGTTTCCTTATCTGTAAAATGGGAATGGTAATAGTATCAACTCTCATCCTTATGTTTTGGGAAGAATAAAATCAAACATAAATGCTGTTATAAAATCTGGTACATAGTAATATTCAGTAACTATTAACTTTTATTCTGGGCATTGAAATAGGCCCTCAAACTGAGAAAAATCATTCTTTTCCAGTGACTATTCCTTCCAGTTGCTTTTTGAGTCCATTGCACTTCTGGAAATTGCCACAGTACATACAGGGATTTTAACTGGTTCCATGTGACTGTTGACTTTTCTAATCCAATCTGCTTGTGCTGCCTATTCTTCCACACATATAATATTTCTGGGGTACTAAATAAATAAAGTATTTTTCATTTGGAAAGAAATCTATTTTGGTCTAACTCCATAGTATTAAAAGTTCTGCTTAATGTGAAGGGCAAATTTTTTGACTGAAGTAACCAGAAATGAAACCGAGTTACCTACAATGAGGGGGTTCCAGCTTCTCACAGTGTCCAATAATAGTGTGGACTTTTTTTGCTAGGAATACTATCAAAAGGATCCTGTTTCATCAAGTACTGCATGCTTTGCTCTTCACCCATATTGTTGATTTAAATTTTTGAAAAGATAGGACTAGGGACAAGAATCTAATGCAACTTGGAGTCTTCACTTTGGGTTGCAAAAATTCATTTATCATTGTTCACTGGGGATTGCTGATTGGCGAGTAAGTCATTCATCCACCTTAGTAGATTGAGCCCATGTTTGAATCCTAATTTCCTCAAAGCTCCCAAGAGTGGGTTTATGAGACTTGTGTATTATTGTCACAAGTAATTTGCCATCTGGAATACAAGTTCTACATTTTTTTTCTCTTTTCCAAATTAAGTTTGAAGAATATAGTCATTTGATAATATTGTTTTTAGATACTTATAGTATAATAAAAAGATAAACTCAAAAAGTGTTGATAGAGCCCAGTAATTATCAGGGTTGGTATATAACAGCTGATGTATTTATTAATAGGATTCCAGTTTATCTATAAAGCATTTCTGTTAGGAATGAAGGTAGGAAAGGGGAAAGAGGGTAGGTAGGAATGAGGACCTCAATAAGTACATATTATTAACTGACTTATTTCATGTGGTTTTAAAGTTCTAGAATATAAATTCTGGCTCAGACCCAGAGGTTTCTTACAACATAGCAAGAACAATGCAGGAACTTTATTTTGAAGTTTCCAAATTCTCAAGTAGTGGGGCCCCTACCATAGTCATTGCTACACCACAGCCTTATCATTCTAGGTCTTTGTTAGGGAAACAAGATGTGACAAGAACAATAGTATTTCGGGAGATTAGGTTGACTCTTGTCCCTAGCAAGGATGCCAAAGAGGCAGAGGAATTGATATTAAGTATGATTGCCAGACTAGTTGATCAAGCTGATCTACAATTTCTTTACTCTTATCATCTCTTATTAGTGCACAGTCTCTTCTTTCAGGCACATATCCCCTATTTTTTATTCTCAGATTCTTGTTTGTGAACCTTGCTGCAAGGAAGGAAGAACTGTTTTTTAACTAAAAAGAGTATGTGATTTTAAAGTGGAATAACGCTTAATGCAAATTCAGGATCTGTCATCATAACATGAATCATTATTTCTTTGAGTCTCAGTTTACAACTCCATTAACTTGTTAGGAAGATTGATTTGGATATCCTAGACCAATAGTTCTCAGTAGGGTGGAGGGAGATTTTGACCTATCTCTGACATTTGTTAATGTCTGAAGACATTTCTTATTGTTCATAGGAGGCTGCTACTGGTATCTACTTGGTGAAACCCAGGGATTCTGCTATCTAAACATCCTACAATATATACAGGACTTCCCCCTACAACAAAAAATTCTTTAGTCAGTGGTGCCCAAGATGAGAAAGCCTGTCCTAAATGACTGTATAATTCCTAGTAGCTGAGCCTAGGATGATATGGATATTAATCGACAACAACTTTAGTTGTGACTTTTCCAAGTATATTTGATGTTCTAAGAAAGGTTTTGGTCATAATCTCTCTTAAGATGGAAAAGATTCATATAAAAGAAATAAAATGACATAATAGGAAAACAGATTATAGGGTTGATTTTTTTTTTTTTTTGCACCAAGGACAGCACCCTCTGGTCTACTTCGTGTGAAGAGTCCACGTTTTATACCTTGCTGTTTTAACTCTTCCTCTTCTTCTTTCTCACCAGTCTTATGAAACATTACCTTAAAATATCATTTCAGCATGCTTTCTCTAGATGAATTTGGGATTATATATATCACTTGCATGCAGGTGTAAATAAAAATGAAATGTGGTCTTGCATTTTTATTTCCTACCAGTGCCGTTTTTTTTCCCACAGATCCCATTTAAGAGTAAATTGGATAGATATGATGATTATTTCAATTGAGAGTATTTTATTGGAGGAGAATTAAGGGAGGGATACATTCTTTGTATTTTGTTATGCAAGCTACAGTCAAACAAATGACTAGTAACTTGTTTTAATAGTTCATTATGCTTTCTTTCAGTTCTAAGCTAAATTTATACCATTGTCTAGAAATCATTGTATGATAAATACCCCATGCAAGGAAATCAACTAGTAAACTGTTTCAAAAATCCAGCACAATGACAGTGATAATACTAGGTATCCAACAGTGCAAATGATTATCTTATGAGTGACATTGTTAATGGCCTTTAGTATACAGAGCCAACTAGTCTTGTCTGTGGTTGTTCTTCTGTATCATTTTAGCATGTTAAATGGAGAAATTTTTTTTTTTTTTTTTTTTTTTTTTTTTTAATTTTTATTGTGGGTTGTTCAAAACATTACAAATTTCTTGACATATCATATTCCACACTTTGATTCAAGTGGGTTATGAACTCCCACCTTCACCCCATACACAGATTGCAGAATCACATCAGTTACACATCCATTGATTTACAAATTGCCATACTAGTGTCTGTTGTGCTCCGCTGCCTTTCCCATCCTCCACCCTCCCCCCTCCCCACCTCTCCCCTCCCCTCCCCTCCTCTCTCTCTACCTCCTCCACAGTATAACCCTGAGGGTCTCCTTCCATTACCATGCAATTTCCCTTCTCTCT